TGACCTGCAACCTATTAGCGATGGCCTCCAACCTCCTAGCGATGACCGCCAACCTAAGAGCGATGGCCTCCAACCTCCTAGCGATGACCGCCAACCTAAGAGCGTTGACCTCCAACCTACTAGCGATGACCTCAACTCGCCTCCTTCTCAGTGCTGCAGACCTGGAATCGATACCAAAAAGTTAACCCACGTTCACCGAAGAGCCTCCAACCTGAGAGCAATGGCCTCCAACCTAGTAGCCGAACTCGCTCACAAAAAGTTCATGACTTGCTCCGAGTTTTGTTCAAAGCACTGGAGAGTTATGGGGCTTTCCGCTTTCCTGATGGCTCACCTTGATTGAAGTCTTGTGATTCGTCGCTTGTTAATGAGAATTGCCCTTGCTTGCACCTTATGCATTGTGCAACTACCAAGTTAAACTTTCAGGGCACTCGGCATGAATCTGCACTGTCAAGAGATCTCAACGCATTCTGCAGAATCTCAACACTTTGCGTGCCATCGCTATTAGGTTGGAGGCCATCGTTATTAGGTTGCAGGCCATCGCTATTTGGTTGGAGGTCATCGCTCTTCGGTTGGCGGCCATTGCTATTAGGTTGGAGGCCATTGCACCGCTTAAAGGAGTCCGCCTTTCCACTCCACTGACCATTGTCAAAGGTCACAGAAGCCTGGCTGTCAGGAACTGCAAGAGGACCATATTCTATAGCAGGGCCACTTGATTCTCGCGATGTTCGAGGTTTTTGTCCCATCTGTGGTCAAGCACCTCCACAAGAACTACCGACGCTGAAATCCCGCAGCTCTGCCTGGATGCCATTCCTGCTAGGCGCCGGGTAGTAAAGATCTCGCCCTGATTGGCACTGCGGAATGGAACGCACTGCACTCAGAACGCCACGCCTTCCGGCTTGTGACAAACGCACATATTTTGTCCAATAGCCATCAGCAAAGGCTCTGAAATCTTGATGATTTTTTGTAGCGATCTGTGTTCTTTTTCTGTCCTTTCCTTTCCTTTCCACGAAATAGCAACCCCTCCACCAGGGCCTTCTGCAAAAACCGGCCACGAATCTTCATGACCATGGCCTGAGCTACTGAAAAAGCAAGGAGTTACAGCAAGAATATTCCGCGCAGCTTGGTTCTTTTGGGATACCAATGGAGGTTTGCCTCTCTCACAAGTTCTGCCAGTGACTTCTGGACATGTCTGAATGATAAGTTACGACATCTGGTGCCACTGCAATTTAATTTCCACGAACCCTCACAGCCTATCAGAAAACAGAATTACCACCACGTTGTAATCTCGTTGTGGACAGTCTGTTTTCAGAATTCTGGCAGGTCTAAGGTGCATTAAGGCGTGTCTTTGGATCCAGTACGCTCTCCTCACTGGCCTGAGGCGGAGCTCCTGCCTGCACAAACCAGATCAAACCTTTCAACGAAAGGAACCAGTAACATTCAACAACCAACCTACTAGCTATGGCCTCCAACCTACTAGCCATGGCCTCCAGAATAAAGGAAATGGCTTGAAACAGCGCTAACTGGTGTCTACTCCTGGACTCTCAGAAGAGAATTCGCATGCTTTGTTCCCTCTCCACCCCCCGACCTCGTTCGGTGCTTCATGGAAGTTGTCTTCGCATCTCCGGTACAGCGGCCATCTGGGAAGAACTTGCAGAGTTCCGAAGAGGGGATAGGCAAAGGGCAAGCAAGAATCCTTTCTCATAAGACCATCCTACACTGATTGCACTTGGAAACAGAATATGCAGCGGTCCAGAAACAAACAAGCCGCAAAATGCACGGCCATCTGCTTGGAGCTCCACCGCACTCTGCCACTCGCCTGCCATCGACTCCTCACCTGATGTTTTGACCGCAACATCTCCTGCTCTCGAAACGCGGCCGCCACAACCAAAACATCCGTGAAACGGATGTAATAGCATGAAAAAAAGAAAAAAGACGTGAAAGAATATGTAAACTCCGTCTTTCTGCTCTGCTAGGAGGTTCCTGATCACATACGGTGCATTTGTGCCGTTGCGCTTTGCCATCAATTTTTATGTGAACCAGCACCCGATGGTCCTTCACTTCCGGAAGCAAGACCATCTCTGTCAATGAAGTGAAGGCTTTCAACGCCTGCTCTGCAGCTGACCTCGACTCTGAGTAAACTCTGCTTTGGGTTCTCTTCAAGGAGATTGCCTCCGTTGCCTATTGTATTTGCTGATGTTCTGAAAAGCTGTAGCTCGAGATGGGGGACGCAACGCCTGGCAATTCCTCTCTGCAAAGCCATGATGCAAGAGTAGTGAAAAATCACAAAAAAAAGAGAAAACGTGGTAGACCCTGGTAGGCTGTAAACAATCCAAGTCACATCAACCGAAAACTGCTTCCAATCGCTTCAAGGCCCGGACCATTCTGCCTCTTTCTGGTTGCTGCTGACACGGCCAGGGAAGGCATTGCCCTGGCGAGTCGCCGGAGTCCGAAGCAACGAAGCCTTCGAAGCCAAGAAATAGTCAAAAACTACACCAGCATAGACCCCAGATAGCGACTCACTCTAAAAACAGAAGCGCATAAGACCCAAAATCAGATAATTCATAGCACATACCTCACAATAAGATCCCTGAGAGCTTCCAGTGACCGTGAGTGGGCAAGTGGGATGACATGTAAGGAGACAAATGGGGAGGACAGGCAGAATGTGGGAGACAAAAGTAAGGAGACAAGGCAGCAGCGGCAAGTGGGAGAGAAGCAGGGAGACAACCTTTTTTTCACCTTTCATTCGTCTCATGTAAGGGAGATAACGAAGCAGCGGCAAGTGAAGAGACAAATGGGGAGACAAGTGGGGAGACAAACGGGGCAAGCTGGGAGACCAGGCAGCAGGGGCAGCGGTGGACCAAAATGCCGGTCAACCACCCAGTCCTTGAGAAGTCAGAACCTTTACAACTTTCAACCTTCAGCTATCTGGGAAAAAACACCTCAAACATTGTTTATATAACATGTTCAAGAATTGCTATTAGGTTGATGGCCATTGCTATTACTGTATATAGGTTGGAGGCCATCGCTACTAGAAACAAACGCCTGAAAACATTGGTTAACATGTTTTGCAGAAATGCCGGAAGCCTTCATGCAGTGCAGGATCACGACAGCTTGGAACCTCAGAGAAACAGCCAAAGTGCCGACACCGTAAAGTCACCAACGAAGATTGGTGACGACAAACAATATGTCCAGCTGTGAATATCAAGTGTTCACCAGAAAGGCTTTAGAAAGGTGTTCCACTTCTGGAGAAAGCACTCCTGGCATCGCTACTAGGAGCAAGGACGCTACTAGGGGCTCTTGGACTTTGTGTTGTTGCAAGGCCGATGTTTGGAGCACATGTGATTGGGTACATGCTTGCACAGTTTGGTTCATCTGAAGCGTGCTCATATCACATATATCATGGCTGCGCTTTTGCACGCAATTGAAGGCTTATTCTCCAGGTTCCTCTGTCTGCACTAAATATGGGTAACTTGATCTGTTGCAGCTGTGGTGCTGCTCGCTCAACCTCGGATCAATCACGTGGAGGAATTTCATAGCTCAGAGCAACAGGCAGCTGTGAAACTGCCATGCTCAGTGAGTTGGCACGAAAGTGATGAGCATGGGTCCGGATCTGACGGCAGTCAATTCCTACCTTGTAAACGGGTCTTGGATAAATGTGGGCTGAGACACGAGAAAATGAATCTCGAACAAAGTAAAAGCATTGGAAACCAAAAAATGTGTGAGCAACTTGCAGTTCAGAGACTCATATGTGAAGTACTCCACATCGCCTTTATCGCAAATAAAAGAACTGTGCTGTGACAGCTGCAAGACAACACGCTGCATGACAGCATCTATGTGGCTCCTGGACGAGGAGCAAGGACGCTACTAGGGGCTCCTGGCCTTACTACTAGGAGCAAGAAGCTACTAGTAGCTCCTGGCATCGCTACTAGGAGCAAGGACGCCACTAGGATGTGGCTCCTGGACTACATGTTTAAACGCCAAGACTCCATGAACGATGGGTCTTTGGCAGTATCGATGGCAGAAATGGGTCCTTGGCCAGCTAGACAAGATCAACAGCTGCAAACCGATGAGTTGGAAAAAGTAGACCAGAATGCTGTACAGTTCTACCCGCTACTCAGCTGCGTTACACTTTCTTTGTTTCTACTCTACGCTCAGCTCTGCCGGGCCCAAGGGCCCAAGGGCCCAATTATCACACCGAGACTCAAGTGGCTCTTGGGATCACGGAAGTCCGATTGGAGAGACACAAATGCCATCGCCTGGGTCGCCTGGGTCGCCTCAACCATTCGCAGTGAACAGCTACCAGGCTGAGGAATAGCCCGAGATCAGCAAATTCTGGCAAGATCCAAGCACCAAATCTGTGTCCCCGCCTTGTTCACTGAGCGAGAAATGGAGGTGTCCCACCACAGCTCTTGCTTGAGCACGTTCACAAATAATCCATGTGAGTGGTTAACAAGCACGTGTTCACAAAGATGAAAAGCAGGTGACGGTGTGTCATTCAAACAGGAAGAGCTTGAAGCTGCAAATGTGCAACAATTTTGCTCGGCTTGCGCTTTTCTGAATCGAGCTTTCTTGCCCGTGATCAGCGAAAACGAAAACATAAGGTGATACGCTCACAATTTCCTTTGGAAACTGGACATAAATGCATAATTGTAATTAAGAACGTCTCGGTCCATGCGTTTCATTCAACCAAACCACGAGGAAGCCCTGTTCATCAAGTTGCCAACCTGATTGGCAAGCTCCTGAGCCTGATCACCAACCTGACTTGTCACGTTTTGAACTTCGTCAGAATTCATCAATGTCCTGACCTGATCGGCCGCATCTTCAGCTACATCACGGATTCCCTCAGCGTCGATGATCTCTCCAACGGTAGAGGCCACTGCCATGATTTTTCCAGCAATTTCGGGATTTCCACTCAAAAGCTCCTTGCCCAGGTGGAAGTACTCATTGAGGACGGTGTGGGTTTGATCATAGATAAACTCTCGAATTTCGTCCACCGCGCCTCCTGCTCCTCCCACCTCCGACGCAAAGATCCCACGGTCGCACTCGAGCTGCTTCCACCGCAATTGCCCATGAGGAGCAAATGCATAGAGGGCAAAGCGCTTGTGTTGGGTGGATTTGCAAGCGATGTACATGGTGAAAGGCCCCCTTGAAGGTTTCAAGTATTTCCATCCACATCGGTCGTCGTCCGTAAGTTTGTGCTTGACAAGCCTTTTGCCGGATGCGTCATAGATGTGCAAGTATGCCGTCGGATAGTCGGTATCTTTGTAGTGCATGCCATCCCTGCGCTTGTACCACTCCCTCATCTTCTTCTGGTTCTGGCGAAACACGCCGACAATGATGCGAGCATCTGGGGAGACATTGGATACCGTAAGCTCGTACTTGAAGGTATCTTCACATCTCAGATCCACATCCTTCTTTCGGAAGTATCCCTTATTCCCTGTTTCCTTGTGAACTCCCACGAGCCATGTCTCTCCCGTAACTTTTGTGACCTCAATGACATCTCCGCGCTTGAAACTGATCTCATCATCCTCACAGGCACGGTAGCTATTCTTGGCCATTGCCGTGTAGGGTGGCGCTTTGCCAAAATGTCCATACTGAGCACAGCACTGCCAAGTTGGCCCAAAAGTCCGGTTGAAGCGGATCCTTTTCAGGACTTGAACGCAAAAAATAAGAAGGTAAAAAAAATGTGTGTATAAATACGCACACAAAATTTCCGCAATCAGGGAGCCATCCATTGAGAAGTAAGAACCCCTATAGCTTCGCTATCTGGGAAAAAAATATAAACGCAAATTGTACTTTCTCGCTCCTTTTCAGGACGTGAACGCAATCCTCATCTTCCATCCAAAAGGCGCCGTCGTTCGATTTCTGGTGACCCAACTTCTCTCTCCGCTCATCGGTCCACTTACTTGAGTCATCAGACCAGGGCCCTGTCCATTCCTTGGTGGTTGATGTCAATCAAAAAATCCGACTTGTCATTGCTATTAGGTTGGAGGCCATCGGCAATTGTAAACACAACTTGCCCTGCACGACTTGACTCACAGCTGAGGTGCCCCATTAGAAGCCGCTTCGAGAACGTGCATTCCAATGGATCGGCCAGGGGTGCCATATGGGTGGGTGACCATGCAGGGGCATTCCTTCTGGTTTTGTTTGTCTTTTCCTCTGGTCTTGTTCGCATATGTTCGTTTGTCCTTGCACATGTCCTCTGGTTGGCACAAAGTCAAGATCAAATTCGGTTGGAACATTGCCCAGAAGCACAGGCATAAACCCCAGATAAATAGCACTTTGGAAAGTAGATAAGCTTACGCGTACTTATGAGGTTGCTCGGTCTCTTACAACCTCCAGCCGGATCTCAAATGCAAATCAAGTAGGGCTGGACTAGACAGTGAAAAAAAAAGAGAGTTTTGATTGGGGTCTGGCTGCAGTCACAGAGCTCTAAGGTTCCAGGTTTCTCGATCAGGGCCTGGCTTTAATCACTAGTTTAGGTGGCTCTTCGACTGATTCACAACTTCTACCTGAGTTTACTAGTCACATCCCATGCCCACGCGTCCTCCAATCCAGGGTTGATTTGACGGTACATTTAGAGGATGTAGCAGCGCACCAAGAAATCCCAAAGAAACGAAAGTTGCGCAAATTGCCTTCGTTTGTGTAAATGATTTTGTACCCCTAATCGTGGCTCTGTCCACTTTAGGAGAAACACCACCCCTTGCCTGTTTTGTCTGCTCAAAATATGCGTCACCAGCAACTCTATTTTGGTGTAGTGAAGGATTGGCACGATGTTGCAATGGTTCATGAGATGATTGTTGATTCTGGAAGCCTTTCTGAAACCCTTCAGCAATCTTAATTGTATAAAGCAGAGTCAAGTCCTTGCAAACCTAGGACGTAGTGAGCCTTTGCACTTTCAGGCACTGTCCACTGGACACTAACGATTGAACACATTCTTCTCCTCCAAGCCCAACAGCCTTGAATAAGCTCTTAAACACATGTTACACGTGTTTCCCGTTTCACACGTTGTTTACTTCAACTACGTTCTGCAATTTCGGAAAAACATGCTGAACCATCAACCCCCAGGCAAACGCCAAAATGCACAAGCGAACAAACACACCTCAAAAAAGGCTTCAACACGATTGTTTGCAACAAAAAGCTCTTGAATGAAATCTCTTTGTTTTAATCAAAGCTTCTCTTTTTGCCCAGGGATTTCGAAAGCAAATCAACTTGTGACCGTCTACTTCGCCTGATCGCAGCACCGAGTAGGCGTGACCTTCTACGAGGCCCATTCCAGCACCATGCTCACCACACTGGCCATCTGGTCCGCTCTCTCCATGTGCGTACTTCCCCTTGCTGGGCTTATGGAACCCGCTCGACATAATCTCACCATTCTCAAGTCCTCTGGTCTTCCAAAATGCAAACAATATGCAAACAAACAACAAAACGAAACGCTTTTTCTAAAATCATGTATTTTTCTTTGTGATGTCCTGTGTTGATTTTCTTCCAATACCTGCTTGGATGGCTAAAATCTGTATCTGTGATTGGATAGACTCCCCACACACCGCCAAGGAAGGAGAAAACGGTCTCTGCACTTGTTCCTCCATCACACATCTCGAGGCACGTCATGTGTTTGAAATAGGCCTTTTCAATCATTGATACCCAAAGCTCATCTCTGCAGTTAGGAGACCTCGCATATGCCAGGGTGCCGCTCTCTTTTACTCCAAACAGAGTATCCAAAATCTCATAGGTGAAATGCATCTCCTCGCAGAACATCACACCATAAACACCGACCTCCATGTCATATGCGACCAAAGCCTGCCGCAAGAAAGACTTCCGGCAGGCTGCCATCGCTGCGAAGGCTGCGACGGCAAAACAGTCCCCGATGGAGCCCTGCTTGACATCTGACCACTGAGCACCATCCTGCACGACAACAGAACCTTCTTTTGTCCAATGGTATAGATCTGCTGGTCTTTTCCAGCCATGTGGCTTGTCTACCGTGCAATCATAGCCGGGTTTTTTCTTGTCCACATACAACACCTTTGATTCATTTTCCAACGGGTTGAAGGAGTCATCGATGAATTGCGTGCCTTCACTCTTGCATCGGTCGATGATCTCTTGAATCTCACGCTGGCAATTCTCACGGGCCCTCTGCCATGATGCCACAGCGCTCAAGGTCTCTGAAGACTCAAAGCCCTTTGCCACGGCCTTTCAATTTGGCCCGCTCGCTCTCCCCCCTTTCTCTCTACTTAATGAAGTAGGCGCCTACTTAATTACGGTAAGGGAGGTAAGGTAGCTAGTAGTTTAAGTAGCTACTACCTAAGACGCAGGATAGCTCGCGCTAATGATTTGGTTCCTAGATTTTTGGGGAAACTTAGCGATATCGACACAACACCGCTCTTAGGTTGGAGGCCATCACTAGTAACTAGTAGGTTGGAGGCCATCACTGTCAGGTTGGAGGCCATCGCTACTAGGGTGGAGGCCATCGCTACTTGGGTGGAGGCCATCGCTATTAGGTTCCTTTTGCGTTTTGGAACCAGACTAATGGGATATCGACACAACATTCCTTGAATGGTGTCTTGATGCAACGTGTTTGATGAGAGCCCATGACTGTCAGCTCATCATGCTGACCAGCCCTGATCCTTCTGAAAATAGTACTCATGCTTTCCAAGTTCCCAACATAAAGAAACAAGATGGAACCCACGAACCCGAATGCAAACACGTTCCATATCCCCAAATGACACTCTTGTAGGACACTCTTGTGGGACACTCTTAAAGGACACTCTTGTGGGCCACTCTTGTAGGAAACTCTTGTGGAACACCCTTACAGGACACTCTTGTGGGACACTCTTACGGGACACTCTTGTTTCTTGCCGGACACTCTTGTGGGACACTCTTGCGGGACACTCTTGTAGGACACTCTTGCGGGACACTCTTGCGGGACACACTTGTGGGACACTCCTGTGGGACACTCTTGTAGGAAACTCTTGTGGGACACTCTTGTAGGACACTCTTGTGGGACACTCTTGTGGGACACTCTTGTAGGACACTCTTGTGGGACACTCTTGTAGGACACTCTTGTGGGACACTCTTGTGGGCCACTCTTATGCGACACTGTTGTAGGAAACTCTTGTGGGACTCTCTTGTAGGACACTCTTGTGGGACACTTTTGTAGGACACTCTTGTGGGACTCTCTTGTGGGACACTCTTGTGGGACACTCTTGTAGGACACTCTTGTGGGATACTCCTGTAGGGCACTCTTGCGGGACTTGGCAGGGCTGCGTGATGTGTGTGCTCCGATGGGTGTTTCCGCTGGACTTTTGGAGGAAGTCTCGTACGAAATCCTCGTTTCGCAGACTTTGACATGTGAGTTTTGGAGGAAGTCTCGTACGAAACGCTCGTTTTGGAGACTTGACGCGTGACTTTTGGAGGAAGTCTCGTACGAAACGCTCGCCTTGCAGCCTCGAAGCGTGTGTCCTACAGGACTGTCCCAGATAGAGTGTCCCACAAGAGTGTCCCGTATGAGTGTCCCACAAGAGTGTCCCGCAACCGTCTCCTATAGGAGTGTCTCACAAGAGTGGCCCTTAAGGGTGTCCCACAACAGTGTCATAAGAGCGCCCCACAAAAGATCACAAGAGTGTCCTACAAGAGTGTCCCACAAGAGTGCCCTACAAGAGTGTCCCACAAGAGTGTCTCACAAGAGTTCACGACCTCACGATTCCCTGGGCCTGCCACGAATCTTTCCGCGTCCACGCGTCTAACGCGCACAAAGTACTGCGCCTGCCACGACAGGTCACCTCCGTCACACCTCGCAACCTCACGATTTCCTGCGCCTACCACAAGAATCGCACTTCCACACATCAAAAGCCGCACAAAGTACTGCGCCTGCCACGAAAAGTGACAATATCATCTCATGTGAGCTTCAACAAAATTTGCACCACACCACACGTTTGGAATGATTTCGACCCGTTCTGAGCACACTCCCATCCACCAACTTGAGAGAGGAGGGGGGTGAACGAAAGGTAGCAGGGAATCAGGCGTAATCCGGGAGGAGGTGAGAGGCCCCCCACTTGTTAGAAGAGAAGTGACTGAGCGTGATGAAAGAAAAACTAATGCACGGTTTCAATACAGGTTGACGTGCCTTCAAAAGGAGTCACATATTTCTCAAACGCAACTTTGGATTTACATAGTAACGTGCGGCGACCCTGTAAATTGCGTGGCCGCAGGCCATGCTTGCAAACAGGACGCGCTCAAAAACACTGGTATTTACGAGGTTTCGTTGCAGAGGCGCACCACGGTTGAGTGCTGGAAAAGCGCAGAAAACCGTGTAAATACCGGCGTTTTCTGCCGGGAAGGTGCACAAAACCCTGTAAATACCATAGTTTTGTGCAATTTTGAAGCCTCCAAAAGCCTCAAAAACCCTTTCCGACAAAATCTTTCCTGGTTTTTGGTCTTTTTTCGGTCATTTTTCTAACCGAGACGCATCAAAAACCATCGGTTTTTGCGGTGTTTTTTGCCGGACAGCCACAAAAAACACTGTAAATTCCATGATTTTTGTCACTGCTGAGGACTGGAAGAGCTGAAAACACTGGTATTTACAGTGTTTTCGAACCGTTGACCCCGAGGCGCGCTAGGGTGGAATTGAAGGGGGGGGCCCCCCGTATGTTCAACACTTAGGGGCCATGCAGCAGGCGCATTTATATAAGTAATATAAGCGAAGAAAACAACGTAGCCGCTAAATGGTCGCAATGACGACGCTAAATGGTCGCAATGACGCCGCTGAATGGACACAGCGTCATTGGGGACTCAAGAAGACAGTATCAGGCCGATCCAGCCGATCCACAAGGAGGCCGCCTGACTTATAAGTCGAGTTATAAGTTTCGCAAGTCTTAACATGTCCAAGTTATAAGTTAGATAACTTCGAAATAAGTAGGCTAAGTCACACGAAAAAAATTAGAAGTTAGCGGACTTATAAGTAGCACTTGTGCTAGTTACAACATGTTGCTGTCCTAGTTATAAGTTAGTTATAAGTAGCACGAGATTTTCGTGTTCAGAACTTAGGGGAGTTGTCCTAGTTACTGCGCGTTGCTTTTTGGAGGATGTTTTTGGGACGATGTCACCCAAAACTTATTTTTCGAACACTTTCAGGACTCCATAGCTGACTATACGTTTCGAGCATGTTTGTCTGTCATATATATGGCTCAAGCCCCTCTTTCGTGATCAGTTGTTGGAACATTTAGAGGGCCCGTGGAACATGTCGGGCGGCAGGAAGCCCATGCAAGACTATAGCGCGCTGTATGAG